AGCCATCGGTGGTAATAATAATGCACAACAAGACACATACGATAACAGTGTTGTCTTCGCGTCCATATTCTTCCCTAATTTTTTGGCCCATTTCCCCCTCCGGGACGCGTAAGTCGTCGCGAGTGTCGCCCTTTTCGTTCATCAGAGTCACGAACCCATCATCGCTGATGTCAATCAACTGATCCAACAAAATGAGCCGTTAGTTACCAAACATTACACAAATACAGTATAAGACACTCAAATGTTAGCGAAAGGTAGCGCCGGTAGGCATTGGATTACTTTACAAAAACTCATAAAACTCTAGATTAAAGCCTAAGCCTATCAGCGCCGACAAGATATGATACAAAAATTATCCCGGTAATTAAAACTAAAACACTAATCAAAATCTACGATAAGATAACACTGACACAACTGCACCACATGTACCGGCACACACAGCAATGTGAGAGCACCGGTGTCTACAAATGGATTCATTACCTGGAAGTCACTTCGGTTCACATTCGGGACATCGATGTTGTGAGTCGATGGACACAAGTCCTCGTACTTCTTATTAGTGAATATATCGAGTCCTACCAAATGGACCTGAAATACAGACAACAAACACACGTCAAACACATGACACGGGGAGTGACAGTTGTGGGGGCACTGGTAGGGGAAGGGGTGTGTGTGCACCTACCTTGGCGTGTCCGTGTTTGCCAGTCTTGGAAGTGGACATCTCCATGACCTTACAGGGCCGGGACTTAATCATAACGAAGCCATTCTTGCGCAGCGATGAGCACTGCACGGGATATGTGGCCGACGCTCCCGCCGACGCCTCCTGATAGTCTCCCCCGTCGTCGCCTTCCATGGCTTACACCTCACGATCTCCGGTCCCAAGACAACTGGTCCACCGAAAGGGTTGTCAACTGTAATGACAGGTCAGAGGAATGGTATGAAAAGCAATGACTTTTGCGGCGTTAATGCGGGTGACATGCAGTACGCGATGTGACACCCATTTGTGGTAAACGCGAGATAACTGGTGACAATGAGTGGACCAATTGATTGCGATCTTAAGACACAATTAATTGGCGGCAAACTATCTGCGCGTCCATATTGTGTGAGCGCACAGGCGTTGGACAGACAGTGCGCTCGCATACCAGTGCCCACAGGCTGTGAGTGTAGCGATAATTACCGGCAAAGAGTGCGTCAGAGAGGAGTTGCCGACTCTGGTTGTGGTGGCAATGGGTGTCCGGAAGGGTATCTGCAATGAACGAGTCAGTCGTGTGAGTGGACAGCCGTTTGGAGGGCACCGACAGACTCACCACAACGTGTTGTGCGACTCCTCCTCAACGCTGTACTGATGGAGAGAGCGATAGAGAGGGAGAGGGAGAGGGAGAGAGATAGAGGGAGAGAGAGAGGCTGTGAAAGCAGTGGCAGATCAGTGCACTCGCACTGTATGTATGTATGGCTCACTCACCGCTCAATTCATAGGGCCTTTCGGTGCGCTCTTTCTATGCCTACCGGAGCCCTCTCTCGCACAACGCCATTGTATGCCATCGTATGGCGTGTTTCCGAGTGTTACCATTATGTGCTCCGATTATGGGATTGAGTTTTGGTACCTTTTATTACTAATTCAGGCTATTGTAGTGCGTGTTATAGTACTGAATGTTTAAAGTTAAGTTAGCTTTGATTGTATTTTTTGCGTACAACTTATGGCAATATTTTTCTGGTGGTCAACTGCAGTCTCTGATTGGCTGACAGTTGCAGTCTATTGAAATCTATGTCAAAAACACGTGTTTCCAGTGTTTTCAATGCATTTTG